ATAAAGGGCATGTGGTGTCACTATGCCAGAATCAGCTAAGGTTTCTCTCTTGAGGGTTGGGGCTTTGGGTCGAATATTGACCGCTGATGGATTTTTCAGGGGGGTTGGTCCCAAAAGAGTTGACACGGTTTAGACCTCTTTAACTGACCAACCTTCCAATTGTGTGATAAGATAATTCAATTAAATCTAGTCTTGAAAAAATACAGAGTCAGTGACTAGTGGGATCTATTAACAGAAATGAACTATAACTATGTTTTCATTTGAGTCTTTTTTATCTTAAATAAAGAACAGCTGTGTTTTTGTTTCTTTAGAATTAGGGATGCTCCGATCGATCGGCCGCCGATCGATATCGGCCGATACTCACTCTACTGATCGATCGGTGCTCTCTAAAAATGCAGATCGCGAGAGCCGATCGCATGACGTAAAATGATGACGGAAAATACATGACACTTTTCTAACTGCGCGGCAAAACAAGCTCGCCAAAATGGCTTCATCGGTCTGGCAGTATTTTAAGGTGTCCGAAAAGGACAATAAAATAGCGGTACGCAACGTGTGTGAAGCAGAAATCCTGCAGCTCCACCCGCTGTGACGGACCGGTGAGCGGAGCGAAACACACACTAAGAGTTAGACCTAACACACTTAGCCCATTTTATCTACCTCTGGAACAAGCTAAACTAGTTATACATATATTTATTCTTCATTGTCGGGTCACTCATTACTGGATCAGTGAGCTGCATGAGATACTGACAGGCTGTCAGGAGAGAGAGAGAGAGAGGGAGGAAAAGAGAGCGCTTCCACTCATTTCTCCCGTGTTATTATCCAAAGTTAATGTAAACTTGAATAATGTACTTCATTTGAATGTAATAATTATGTTGGTTGTTGTTTGTGGAAGCGCCAGTGAATGAGCCACATTAACTGAGTTTTAAACATCACTTTAAATGGAAGATCCCCATAGGCCCCGCCCACTCGATCGGGTCGGCCGATACTGATTCCGGCGATCGGCCCCAAAATTGGCGATCGGAGCATCCCTATTTAGAATGAGCCCTTTAAATCTACATGGGAGATTATTCCCATGCACTGCAATTTCTCTACAGTAGCTCAGAATTTACAAACCAATCTTTCAATATAACCTTTCGCAGTTTCTACCTGAAGGCCATTGTAGTTCTCCGACGAGTTTGTAAAACTGTGGCAACGCCAGCTACCGCCTGAATTGTATAGCTCCCAAAGTATTGTGATGGAAAAATGGCCTTTAAGCAAAGGTGTTACTATGGTTTTAACTGCTTGGTTTGGGAGGGGTTCGCATCTCCATCCATTATGTTAAATAATGCCAAATCCGACACACTGTCCCTTTAAGTCCATGGTTGACTTAAACAGTGGTGCCCTAGGGTCGAAGACAGATCTGTGGGGTCGTAAAAGGATTAACAGGTGACAGCAAAACATTTTTTCTGCTAGACCAAATTACGTTTGTTTAATTTAGGTTTTTATAGCAAATCCTTCATTCCTAAAAACAAAATCTGTACAACTTAACCCTTGTTTCCAGATGAAACAAACAAAGGCATTCTTTGGTGTCCCTGCTCTTGATTCATAGACATTTTGGGGGAAATGAGGTTGCAGCAGATATTGCTTTGTTTAGGGAACCACTACGGTAATCACAATCGTTGGAATGCCAGAATGATATAAAGGCTGTAATATAGGGAATCTCTTGTTTTAAGCATACTGGTTAATTTGTTGCTACCGATCGAAGTTCAAAGTCAAATGGGTTCTGCAAAATACCTCAACACTGCGTAACATGGACTATTCTTCCATATAAAGTCTGTTGAGAGATTAACTCAAAAACCCTCAGTTGGATTTATGATCCAAGTTCATAGACCTCCCTGCTGTGTTTGCAGGCGAGTGAATCCTGTAATTGTCTGAGTCAAAACAACTCTCCTCTGGGAGTTCAACATAAGTCTCTATGATTTCCAGTATCAACGGCAGAAAAAAAATTACACACCCGTCACCTTTGAAGTGATTAATAATTCACAGACATGGGGAGCCTTCCACAGTTCAGAGCTCTGGGGTGAGAGAGTATGCTAGTGTCATTCAAAAAAGGAAAACTCATGGTTTGTTATAGAAATGTCATGAAAGATTCTCAAAAATCATTATATGGTGTGATAAAAATAATATATATATTTTGTGATTAACATTGAAGTCCTAGTAGTATCATAAAAAAGTCACAGTACAGTAAGCCATAAAATCATATAATTCATAGCAGGTCATACAAATCAGTACTAGTGTAGTAGGCTTTAGTATGCCAACAAATGGTAATAATATAGTAAAAAAAGGAATAAGGAATGTCATTCAAATGGCCTAGTGCAGAATATTATTGAAAAAGTCTTAAAAAGCCATAGTTTAGTATGCCATAAATAAGTCCCACGAAAGTAATTGTATGCCATTAACAAGTCATACACAAATGATGTAATCATATTAAAACAAGTGATGGTTTTTAAATGTTACTGCTTGCAATTGCCCTCTTTCTTCCATTCTGAATACACAGTAATCAACCAAAAATATTTTTGTTTATCCTTTTCCCAACTAAAGGATTTTTTTCCAAACCATGTAATTGCAAAGAAGCCATGCCAAAGACTAAATGTCAAGATGTTCTCCCATCGTTCCCAGCAGGCCTCCTATGGAGTATGGAATAAAGGTGGGTGGATAACAGAGGCTGTAATTTACATAGGCATTTTCCTGAGGCATGGGAAGTAACAACAAGACTCAATATACTGTAAATGATCACATCTGACTCCAGTTAACAACTTTTTTTCTCTCTTATAAACCAACACGAAAAGTTAATACATCACACATTAAACCACCATGCAACATAGAATCTGGACACAAATGAAATACTCCCTCAGTGTTGATATACAAGGAAATTAGTTGCCCTCCACTTTTAACGAACTGCTTGTGCCTGAAGTAAGATTTCATGGGAAAATGAGTCTCACTGCCTCTCCCAACCCCCACTCCTGCACGCCCTCTTCTCTGCAGTATAAAACTGTAATGACCTCAGCTCCGTCAGAATAGGGCAGGTAGCCAGCTTCCTCACTAGGCAGCAGGCGTACCCTCCAGAGCTAACTGAAATAGCCTCCGGCGCAAAAAAAAGAAAGCACAGTCAGTAAGAGATGACACACTCCCCTCCCTGCACACAATACATCTTGATGGAGAGATATCTGCCTGGCAGCTCTGGAGAAGTCATAAAATAAGGAGCTGAAAGGCATGGAGTGTGTTTCTGTGTGATAATGCGCTACTTCAGTTGACCACAAAAGACACAGAAAAGCTAGAGGATGCTTGGAAAAGTGGCGCTGCTAGTCTGACCTTGGCCTATTACCTCAAGTTGCTTCCTTTTTTCTACAGAGTTACCAATACAGTTATAAGTAAATGATTCATCAAGAAAAAACACAAACACCCATTGACCCTAGGGCTGTTGTTAGGGCGGGTGCGGACGAGTGAAGGCGGGGGTCATAGGTCAACAGTTGTACAAAGACAACCCCAAAGCCAAGCCCATTAGTCAAAATGTCCTCCTGCTGTTTTCCAGACTGGCAGTTTAACAAGAGCTAAGGCTTCATTACAGACTTTGAGAGAGGAATAATTCAACTCAACGTCATAAAACGGCCCTGCAGGCTTTATGGTCAGTGGTTAAAGTCAAGCACATCCAGTACGGACAGAGCATGATGAACGAGGCTGGGCAGGTAAACAGCCACGGTGCTAATTCTAGAGTAGATTGCCCGGTTCATCAGTCATGATGAGCAAGAGAGGCAAGTGCCAGGCCTGTAAACACAAGCAGGAACATCTAACTAATGACACAGGGAGGTGGACAAATCCGGGAGAGACGAGGTGAAAGTAGCCCTGCAGTTTGCTGAGCTCTCGGTAGATTCCAAGAGTGGCAGAGTATTCATGTTACGTAACTGTCAGTGAAAATAACTGATGCTTTTAAGGCCATCTGCCCACTCCGATTAAATCATATCCTGTCCTGAAGCTGGAAAGTCTTATTTGGGACACTTATGTGTCTTACGAGGTCCCATCGTGGGTATCTACAAAGTAGAAACCAAACTGTTGGGATCTAGTAATAGTGGGAACTACTATTATTACAATGAATTAGCCTCCAAGAGGTCAAGAGACTTCAGGACACACAAGTGAGTAATATACAGTCAAGTTATGAGGAATTGTATTAGTATAGACATTTTTGTGTCCTGAAGTCTATTGACCTCTTGGAGGCTACTTATTTGGATCCCACATGTGAACAAACTTTTCTTTCACTGACCAAGTTACTGGCTCCTTTCATCTTGGTTCTGGCCTTGCCTTTAAAACAGATAATTGTATAATTTGATAAGTAATGAACCGAAGCACGATTTCTTGGAAAAAGGGGTTCTCTGCCAAATGTAATCGTGTCAGTAATCTTAATCTACGATATATATCACATGATTTAAAACAAAACGTTTGAAGAGGAGGGAAGCTTTGCACAACTTCATGATCAAGGCTGAATGTAACTAAAAACTATTGGTCCTAAAAGGTTGAGCTCATAGCAGTGATATGAGTGTTTGGAATCCAAAATGACATAGTAAAAGCATGATTTGACCCAAGAACAAAATCCTCTTTAACCTGAAGTGGTGACTTCAATAATGACATGAGTTTCCCTTTACTTTCTAGTGTTCCCCAGGCGGATGGAGGACGCAGGGCTCATTGTTATCGCTCCATATGGGACAGACAGGAAGGAGCTCGATCAGACTGCAAGGCGCAAATTGACTACAAGCAGATTTGACATTCAAATGAGATGCAGATTTCTAACAGTTGGCTTTACTTCGACATACGTTAGTTTCCTGGCCCAGCAGAGTAGTCTGAAAACTACACTAAACAATGCCGATTCTATTGTTTGAACTAAAAATCGTCACTCACCGAACTAGCTTAAATTAAGCATTCTACAACAGGACATCCAACTCTAAAACAATAACATGAAGACATTTTACCTTTTTTAAGGTCCGAGCAATGGCGAAGTTTCAGGTTATATTCCACTCAACTTCCCGTAAACACAGAAGAACAGCAAAAACAGGAGGGGAAACGTCTGTGTCACTTCGGAGTCACTTTAGTTTCCAGGGCAGGAGAAGCATGAGCTGCGGCAGGACAGTCCCCGTGTTGGTGCTCCAATGTCCGTTTAGTTTGCATGTGTGTGGCGCACAAAGCGGCCCTCCCCCCTCCTCTCATCTGCCCGAGAGCACCACCCCCCTGCTGAAGTTTAAAGGGACATAGCCCTATTTACCCACAACACATGACAATAGGAACCACTTCAACCTGCTGGGACTAACAAGCCCTTAGCCCAGGACTAATGGCAGTGAAATAAGATCCTCAAAGATATGACCAAAGCAAAGACAATTTAAAGGAATAGTTTGACATTTTGTTAATGTGCACTTTTTACTTTCTTGCCAATTTAGATATAAATATTAATACCATTGAATGTAGGGAACCTCAAAGCTTAAGCCCACACAAGCTTTAGCATTTACTTAGCTTAGCATAAAGACCATAACCAATGGGAAATGGTAACCAGGAAGAAATAGTGGTCTAACTTTGCGTGACCCTGTAAAACCAAAACTTGGCATTTTACCACTTACTAATTATTAACAAAGCAGGCAGGTTCTGTTGCCTTTGGACAAAACTAAACTTTGCGGTTCTGTTTTTCTGTTTCCCCTCATTTCCAGTGTTTTGCTAAATTCAGCTAGCATCTCTTGGCCTAAGCTTTTATGTGGACAGATTTCTGACCGCAGAGTTTATGAAGCAAGCCCCAAGTGGCCATTAGATGATTCGCAAATCTGCGCATGCTTCAATCTTAAGCAACAGAAGTTGCTGCTTTATCGCAAGATGGTCTCTTGTTTGTCAACTGTATTAGGATCTATTTATTCAAAATACTTGAAATGTACGGACTTAATGTTCTTTCCACGTATAATTTGTAGCATTGAGGCACATGTAGCCTACAGCACATTTGCCCAGTTATAATGCAATATCCCAAACATAAGGATTTATTTTAGTTGGCTACTAACTTCTGAAAGCCTTGAAGGTTAATAGGGGAGACTATGGACACTTTACTCCAATTATTTTTGACAGTTCACAGATTACATTTAAAAACGGCCTTTAATTTACAACAGTCATCTGGTCCTCAGGTGTGAACTTTAAAAACTGCCGGAAACTGCAGACGCCCACCTGCCTGTAAAAGCCTCTTACACCCACCTGTAAATATCATCAGCTCAAATTATATTATTACACGATGGACCAATTAGTGGTGCAAAGTTTTATGGGAAGCGCTTTTTAGGTCTTTCAAAACTTCAGTGAGGCTTATGTAGGACAAAAACTTTGATGGCACATTTCCCTGGAGCGGGCACCCTTTTTCAATTATTGCTTCCTTCTGTGGCTTTGTGTTGTACGTTATAATGAATACGGCCTTGAAAGGCTTCATTCAGAAATTGGGACACACACAAGGCCAAATAACTTAATCGAACACTGTCAGGAATTTATGTCAACATTTCAGTTGCCTCATATATTCAAATAGAACTTTTTTAAATCACACACTGTGGAATGTTCTGTCCAACCAAACTGTTACAAGAGTGAGGATCATTTTTGTTCTTCTTTCATTTAATGCGTATCGAGTCAGAAACCAATTTAAGCATTCTGCAAACAGTACATTAAAAAGGCATTCATAAAAGTCACTCAGGAAACATCGCCTTTTTCTGAAATTAGTGTCCTTTCTTCAACTGTCGGTATACCCTCTTCAAATCCCCCAACCGCTCTCAGTGAAGCTCACAAATGAGGCAATTAAATGTAGGGTTTCAAACTCCTTTGAACTACACCTTCTGTCTGAGTCCTTTATTATTCCTACTGTTGGTTCTCAAAGCTCATCAGGGCCATTAAGTACCTTGGGCTGCCTTTTTAAAAGAGACCACCAGCTCGCTCTTTTCTGTCATTCAGTTCCTGAGGGAGAGAGTAGGTGAGAGACAGATGGAAAGGAATTTTTCAGTGAGTGAAATGGCTCCTGCCTGTGATTCTTATGTCAGGGGGACATTTCCCATGTGTTTTCAAAAAAGGGATTAGTGCTTTGGACGGCGCTCGTTCCAATTCCCTGTTCTGTCCTATCCCATCTAATCTCTTCTCTTCTCATGCCTATGTGTTTAGTAGGTTAGCCGTGGATCAAGCTGAATGAGATCCAATTAGCATCTAACACCATCTGACACTGTACATGTGCTTCTTTCATGGAAGAATTTGTCCGTTCGGTTCAGGTGCTTTTTTTCAATTCCAAAACATTGATATTCCTTAAATAAATTGAAGTCACTTTATGTGCAGTCTGATTAAAGGGCCAACGGAGACAGTTTATTCAACCAAGGAACAAATGATGGGCTAATGAATTGTGGGTATCAGGGAGCACGGAGGGAGATAAAAAAAGTCCAGAGGACATTTGTAACCAGATAAAAGGATTTCACAGCGTCTACGCTGATCCAATTTATTGCTGCCCTGAGTAACACTAAGGTTATGTGGCATTTCATCATCTAATTAGCCGCAGACAGATTCTACCTATGTGCTAACAGATAGCATTTATTCACAGAGCATCGTTGATATCTTCACATTTGTGCACGTTTTCCTTTGATGATTTCATGACATGTCATTAAAAGTAAGACGCTTTCTGTGAAATACCCTTTGTATTTTCACACGTTCATAGTTAACCTGGAAGCACAAATTAAATATGCATGCAGATTTAAAAGTAGGCCTATACCTTGGTTTACATGCTCTTTTATTTAGTACTGATGTAGGTTGGCTTTGCACTTTCCTATAGAAGAAGACATCCAGGTAATTTCTATTTCTTGGTTTTAGTGAATAGAAGACTTCCGTTGTGCAATCGGCGTGTTGATGTGTGATGGAGAGGGTTTGCAGTGAAATGGCTTATAGATGTGTCACGATGACTATAGCAAAGCTTCTGTACAGAGGCTATAATGGTTGTGGAAAAAGTTGACCCTGGATCTAGTGTATTTCTGAATGACTGCTTTTTAAAGTCAGTCTGAAAAGAATGACGAGACTGCATTTTGAGAGCGATTGTTGGTCTGAAAGACTAGGATACAATGGTATGTGATTTAAATTATATGCGATCAGCATTTTATGTTCCACCGCCCGTCTACCCTTTGCAGTTTCAAATTGAGTACCAGAACTGCTAACATTCAAAAATAATTTATTTCAGAAATGTACTGTGATCATATATTCATTCAGATTCTGCATGATAAGCGTTTGTTGCGTACAATGAAATCACCGCACAGAGAAGGAAAAAAAAAGTAGATGACATTTTTTTTCAGTTTTTTTACTATGAAAACTAGGAACACACCACTGAGTCTTCACTATAGCGTTACGAGTGCCCCTGGTGTGGCGCTACTCCAGGCAGGTTTACAGATGCTGCAGGACAATCTCTTTATAACCAGACACACAGTGAATGATCTGTAAAGCTTACGCACGAGAAGTGTAATCACACGCACACATGCACACGCACACACGCATTAGCATTTGGGACAATACAGTCACACCTGAATAGTACAGCGTGGTTGATTACACAAAGGGGGAAGAGGTGAGGCAATCTGACGACATCATCTCTTGGTGCAGGCTCAGCTCTGCCCCGTGATTGTGAGCAGTGACAGAGAAGAGTTATACCAGCAGGGAAGGAAACAGGAAAAAAAGGTAGTTTTTTATGAAAAATTCCCCTTTACATTTGAGCAGATCGAGCAGCTGTGCCCACATGTGACTGTCTACTTTAGACAGTTTTAACCCCCTTCGTTTGGCTTTCGAAGCATTTCAGTAGACATATGCAGAATGAAACTTACGTGTGTATATTTGAGCCAGCAAAGGGTGAAAACAAATATGGATTGTGAATGCAAATTAATTCACAGCCCACGTCTGTCACGATTAAAAGAAGGCTCCCGTAGCGCGAGGCCAGCCATTACGAAGCCGCGGTCAAGAGCACCGCCAGCAGTCCAGTAGCAATTGGTGCCAGATATTATAAATAAGTGTTTCTCTATCAAGGCATCTTTGATCCACTGTAACACACTCACAAAAATACTTAAACACTTCCACTTAAACAGATATACACTCATTTCATATATCTGCAGGATCCATCAGGCATGGCACAGTCATTGACATTTGACCTGCCGTGTCCAGGTTGTCCGATTTTTCCAAGTGTTTGTGTGCTGTAGGCCAGAGAGCCGTTTCCGTGGAATCCCATGATTGTTTCTCCAATGTCTGCTTAAAACTCTCCAAACCAACACATTAAAATTTGTTCGATTTGGCCTGAGTTCCACATCCACGTCTGTCTCTTATAACGTCCACTTTTTTCTTCTTTTTACATCAAGTTTATAACAATCCAAGCAAACAATTGTCCTTTCACGTCCACAATATGGCTCCATCACATATTGTTATTTCAGTCTCCATCAATGCACACTCCGCATTGACTTGATTTAGTCTTTTAGGTACATCTACTATATATATACTGTATATATATATTTATATGTGTGTGTGTGTTTTCAAAGATTCTTGTGACTTTGTACAGAATCAAATAGATTACCATGTGAATGTATTCAAAGAAAAGTAACAAACAAACGAGGAAATAAAGGCATGCTAATAGTTCAAATAGCAACATAAAAGTGAATAGATGATGCGGGGACTATTTTATCAGAGAGAAATCTAAATTGGCACACTTCCACACATTAAACAATAACATAAAAGTGTTGTTCCGCAAGTTTCCAGGCTGAGAAATAACACAGACAAAGCAATGAGAAGAACGAAAAGCCTAAAAAAGACGTGATTGGGTTGACTGCGCGTTTCGGAGTACTCCTTCAGAAGATGGGAATATATTTCCAGAAAAGTCCTTTACTGCATATTTCACACAAAGGAAGAGAAGCCAGCGATTGGGGCCCGCGAGCCAGGGGCCAGGCTGCTGGGGGGCCTGTAGAGGGTGCTCTGCTGGCTGGGGGGGTTGGAGCTCTGCTGGGAGGGGGTGGGAGTCCGGCTACCTTTGGGCCTGAACAGGCTGCCTTGGCCCTGGGGATGAACCTGGGGCGGGCCCTGGGGCTGGCCCTGAGGCTGGCCCTGGGCCTGTTGAGGCTGGGGGCTAGGGGAACTGAGCTGGGGGGGCAGTGGAGGTAGAGGAGGCAGTGGCG